AGCCCGCCCCTTTTCTGCCAGAGGGGCGGGGCCGCGGGCGCGCTCTGTGTCTCGGCCCCGCCTCCTGTGACGGCGGCCCGGCCAGGCTGCGGGGGTCGTGGAGCGTACGCGCTGGCGAGTCGAGGCCCGGGCCTGCTGGGGGAAGCCGCTGGGAGGGGCGAAGGAGCCGAGGGTAGAGTGCGAGCGCCGCCTGGGCGGGAGAGGGCTGCAGTGAGGTGGCGGCGGCGGGGCCGGGCCAGGGGGCTTCTTCCCTGACGGGCTCGCACGTGCCTGCGTATCAGAGGGCGCCTCTCCTCTTGGACCTTGGAAACCCCCTTGGACCCTCGCCTAGTACCTCCTGGTCGTTTCCTCAGAAACATCTGATCCGAGCCGGCAGCTCTCAGTGGCTCGGATCAGATGTTTGGCTGCCCAGGCCAATTAGGGAGAGAAGACTACTTGGTCTGTTCTGAAGAGGGTTTGCTAATTGTCTTCCGCTCCACTCTCCCTGCCGTGGGTTTGCCTCCCCAGGCAGCGAGATCTCCCTGTGGGTTTCAGATTGCTTGGTCCTTTAGGAGCTGGAGAAATGAGGTATAAAATCCCACCCTGGAGAGAGTGTCCCATCTGACTCCAGAGGTCCTTTATTGAACGCCAGGCACTGGGCTGAGAGCATTTGAAAAAGATTCAACCGAAGGACATTTCTTAAGGGTTGACACTATCACATGGCAGCTTCTCCAACTCTTTCGCTGATTTCCTTTCCTCTTTTTGCCTGTTTAAAGTTAGTGTTCCCAAGGTCTCCTTCACTTCTTTTTATGGGTCGCCTGCACCATCTCATCCAAGCCCACAACTTTGATCCCACTGTCTCCCCCATAAGCTGGTGAGCCCTGAGTGCATTTCTCTTTGCCCATACTTCCCTTGTGCTCCAGCCTGTGGACAAATCTAGGTAGAATTCCTGTAGGCACTTCAAGCCCAGCATAGCTAGGTAAATAATCAACTTGAGATCTAATACAAACCAGGTTTAGTAACTGGTCAAGTCATCAATCTCTGAATCTGTGTTTATTTTAGAATTCAAAATGAGGATAATAGTACAATTGTACCTCTTAATAGAATGGTTAGTACTGTGCCTGCAATCTGTGTTCAATACATGTTAACTATGTGATGGTATGTATGTATAGTTACCCCCATATACCTGCTTTTTCTTTGGGGTTTCTTACCTCAATGGACAACCTTCCATCCAGTTGTCTGCCAAATAACAGACCAGGACACTTTGGGTCCTGGCTCATCAGCCACCTGTTTGTTCCTTCATGCCATTCCCCTTAATCCACCGTGGTCTAGCTAGAGTCCTTCCAAAGTAGAGTCCCTCCAAGATGCCAAGCATGCTCTGCTTCCTTCAACTTCTTTTCCAACTCCTGTGGCTCACAGGGAGGAGCAGCTCCTACTGCCCCTCAGCATTTAGCTGAAAATTTCTCTCTAGAAGCATCCCAGGCTACTTTCTATGCAGCTATTATCACATTCATCCCATTGTGTCATAATTGTTTACATCACTATCTCATTCTTTTGGCTTTAAATATCTTCAAGTAGGGTCCATTATTAATCTAAGGAGCAAGAAGTCCTCTTTAAATGTTACTTGAATACACAAATGATAGCTCATAGGGAAAGAAAGGCAGGAAAAACAGCAGACTAATGGAATCCACCAGGGGCTGGAGGCAAAAATCCACCAGGGGCTGGAGTAAGACTGGTGTTAGTAGAATGGAGAAGTGAAAGTGATCAGGTGATGGAAGAGGGATTTAGGTGTTGGAAGAAGGAGTCAAGGTTAACACCTGGGTTTCTTATCCGAGATATTCGATAATGGGGCTGCTTACCCAGAGAGGGAATACAGAAAGTTTGTAGTAAAGATGAAGGGTTTAGTCTTGATTTGTGAGATTTGAGGGTCTGTGATACCATTCAAATGTATTGCAGTAGGTGGTTGAAAATATGGATATGGAGTTAAAATGGGGCATCTCTCCTAGATATTTTAACATTGGTGTATAGGCACAATTAAAACCATCCCTATGGAAATTGAATGGCACTATGTATTCCAAACATTTCCTGTTCTCTCCCAGGTACTTGGTGGGATTGCATGCTCCGGCCTCTTTGTGGTGGGTTTGAGCTACATGATACATTCTGCCAATAAATTGTGAGCGTAGCATTTAATTTTGATGCAAGAATTTCCAGAACTCTTTCTCTCTTTGCCATGGCTATCAGTAGTGTTCCAGAGAGAATAGGCTCTATCAGTCTTGATCTTGGAGGGAAGATTATGCTGGGTCCCAACCAGATCATAAGGGTAGCATTTAATAGTTGATGCAAGACCATTCAGAACTCTTTCTCTCTTTGCCATGGCAATCAATGATGTTCCAGAGAAAATCTGCTCCATCAGTCTCAATCTTGGAGGGAAGATTATGCAGAGCGGAATCTCAGTCAGATCATGAAATTCATGTAAAGTGAGTGAGAAGTAAATCTTGGTTACTTTATGCCAGAGATTTGAGAGTTTTATTTGGTACCAGAGTAGATCTTTGTCACTCCTGTATAATGTGCATGAGAAGAAATCTAAGGAGGAAATCTTGGGAACACAAATGTGCTTGTTTGGCTTTTTGACTTGCAAGAAATTCAGAGACTACTTTACTTAAAAGAGGGAGAAGCAAGAGTATTTACATGGATATATATAAGCTACTCCTCTCTTATTTCTTATTGTGTCTGTTCTTCTCTACCTCTTTAAACTGTTCCCATACTAGCAACTGGCCAATTAATCCTCTTCTAATCCTCTAGTCCACATTTCAGGAGAATATAATCTGGTTGCAGAACTCTTAGCTCTAAGCCATTTCCTGGGCTTCCAGCCAGCCTGTGGGTAAACCACACTTGGGTGAGGTGCCCATCTTGCTCTTCTAAACAGTGTCATCCTTACCTAAAACACCATCTAGCTCTTTGGGGTCCAGGAACTCTGGTCAGGGCAATGCAAACTGCAATGGTGCATTCCACTTTTGTCCCACTACAATTTATTTTTCACAGAATTGTCAAAATTTTATACTGCAATTAGACATCAGACATGTCTTAATCCCAATAAAAAAGCCCACAATGACCAGCCTAAACCTCACATTACATTAGGAAAGGCCAACTCTTTGCCTAGCCTGTAAAGGCACTTATGATCTAATCTCTACCTGCCATTTCTACCTCACTTCCTGTCCCTCCCCCACCCATAAACTCCAGCCATCCCAGCCTCCTGTGTCATCTTATTCATTTTAAACTCTACTGTCATTTCCTCTGAGATGAGTTCTCCAATTACCCTCATCTAAGACTGCCCTCTTTACCTCAGAGTCATGTTCCTGGCTATTTTCTTCATAGTACTTATGACCTTTATGTCTTTTCTGTATCCCTGTGCCCTGATTCTCTAGAATAGTCCCTCGCACACTAAATATGTTTTAAATGAATGAAGGAGGTGGTGGGCTGCGTGCTCCTGTACTGGCTGTTTTCTGCTGTCCTCCATCTAGATTCATTCTTCACCCTTCCCTAGCTTGCTGTGTGCCTTAAAGGTTGACCTCTAAAGGTTGGGTTTCTAGTTGAGTTTGACTAGTGAAAGGCACCAACAGAATATTGGAAGACAGTAGGAGTGAAAGGTGTTCAGGATATTGATTTCTTCCCCAATCCAGTTTCTCTGTGGTTTTGGCTATGGTTGAATTATTCCATTCTTCCACTTCCCCAACTCTGGTAATAGTTTTCTGGAGCATCATCATACTTTGAAATACTTCCTTGATTAGAGTCTCTTTACCTTCATTTTATTGCCTTCTGGGCCTCTGACTGGCCTGCAGAAGCTAGTCATAGGCTGTCAAGTTCAGTACAACTAATACTTGAGTTCATATAACTTACCCAAGGATACACAGGGAAAGTAGTAAAACCAGGTTTCAAACTAAAAATTCAAGGAATATGAGGAGATCAGGAGAAACTGTTATGCTAGAAATCCAAGGAAGAGAGTATATTAAAAGGAAAAGAGAAGGACCAGTGAGGGTTTTTTAATTATTTCTTTTGTTTTTAATTTGTATTTTCTTTTTTGGCTTAGATTCCCACTCTGTCACCCAGGCTGGAATACAATGGCATGATCATGGCTCACCAGTCTTAACCTCCTGGGCTTTGATAATCCTTCCACTTCAGTCTCCCAAGTAGCATGACTATAGTGGCATAACTCCACACTATTTTTTTTTCAGTAGAGATGAGATTTTGCTATGTTGTCCAGGTTGGTCTCAAACTCTTGGGCTCAAGCGATCCCCCTGCCTTGGCCTCCCAAAGTGCTAGGATTACAGGTAGGTGTGAGCCACCATACCCAGCCAGATATTTTTTTAAAAAGTAACCACTAGCGCCTTAGGGAAAATACTTT